TAAATGTCAAGACAGAATGTGATTGATTCATTCATCCAACAAGTATTTCTTGAGTACATACAGTGTGCTAGACAGTTTCTTGGGACTAGGGGTGCAGCAATGAACCCCTAGTAGAAGGTAGAAAGATCCTTGCCTTTGATGAGTTTACACGAGATAAATGCCAAGCCTTGCAGAACTGATTTATGTTTCCCATCACAACTTCCTCTCTTAGGAAGGAAGTCCTAGTGGCACTCCAGTGACAATGTGACCTCATTACTTCTTGTTAAATAAGGGACAAACATGAGCCAGGCCATAGTTTAGCAGTGAGAGGTGAATAAAAAGAGACTTTGAGTAAGAAAGGATAAGTCCTGGGACAGCTGGGAGCCAGCTGGCACAGCCAGTGTTTCCTAATGCCTCCCACACCCTGGAAGACAGCACAGCTCCCAGAGCCTATATATACCCAGGGAGCACTTGCCAGTCACAGAATGTGACCGAGGAACGTCTCTTCCAATCGCTGGTCTAATCCCCTTCACTTCATAGGAAAAGAAACTGAGATCTCATAGTCACAGGGGTATCTCTGAATTAACTTTTTAATTTTCACTCCTCTGAGGCTGTAGACATTTATTCTCCTGCTAGACATCATCAAAAATGGAAAGGCTAGACAAATATACTTGCTTAGCATAAGATGTGAACAACAGAAAAGAATTAGAAAAACTAGATATAGAATAAACATCAGTGTGGGTTTAATAATATAGGTGATAAGAGTTCCCAAGCTGCTTCTGCTCTATAATCAATCATAGGAACTTAAAGGATACCGCAGGATAAATGTACACTTCCTAAAAGTGAACAAACTCACTTTAAGGCAGGGATTCCCAACTCCCTGACCACAGGTGGGTACCGGTCTGTGGCCTGTTAGCAACTGGGCAGCACAGCAGGAGGTGAGCAGTGGATGGGCCAGTGAGCATTACCACCTCCTGTCAGATCAGCAGTGGCATTAGATTCTCACAGAAGCTCGAATCCTGTTGTAAACTGCATATGTGAGGGATCTAGGTTGCGCATTCTTTTTAAGAATCTAATGCCTGATAATCTGAGGTGGAACAGTTTCATCTCAAAACCATCCTCCCCCCACCAACCAACCCCGTGGAAAAATTGTCACCCATGGAACCAGTTCCTGGTGCCAAAAAGGTTGGGGGCAGCTGCTTTAAGGCCACCATAATCGAAATAAAACCAAGTTGCTATGCATTACATTGACCAAGTAAAAGTTTACAGGGGAGCTTAAATGGCATAGAGGATAGAACAGGACTGATACTCCTTTAAAAGGTAAAAAAGAAGTAAAAAAGACCAACAACAAACATATAAAAACTTCAGAGGCAGAGTCATACCTAGGTAACAACAGGACAGAGACAGAGCCTATATAAACTAAGAGTTTTATATATGTAAGCACACGCCAAATCCCATCAGTAACTATGCCATCCTTAAGAAACTCGTTTAGGCCATCACAGCATCCTGAAGCCTGAAGATGCCACCCAGGTATCAGTTTTAGAGGCAGCTTATTTCCCTAACAATGCCAGCCCATTCTGCACAAAGTCAGAAATGTGACTGTGCAGCATGCCCAGGGAAAATTACTTTTGAAATTGAGTTTTCAATCTTTTTGTTAGGGATTTTTAAATAACCACAGGACAGAAAATGCTTCCATTATTTTTATCAGGGGAATACAGTAGGCATATTAAAGGTGGATTTTCATGAAAAGATAATGAAAGAAGAATGAAATATTAGAAGGATTAGCTTAACCTCTACCACTGAGCACCCTGGACTGCACATCAGAATCACCTGGAGAGCTTTTAAAAATTCTAATGCCCTGGCCCCAGCCCAGACCAATTATATGAAAATCTCTGGGGTGGGACCCAGGCATGAGTATTTTTAAAGCTCTCTAGGTAGTTTCAATGTGCAGCCCAGACAGGAATCCACTGATCTACAGGGAGTTTGTCTAAATTTTGAATATCAAATACTTCCCATTAAAGCAGGATAAAATCAGGCACAGTGGCTCATGCCTATAATCCCCACATTTGGGGAGGCCCAGGTGGGAGGATCACATGAGGTGAGGAGTTTGAGACCAGCCTGGACAAATAGTGAGACTATTTCTCTACACAAAATTTAAAAATGAGCCAGGCATAGTGGTGTGCACCTGTAGTCCCGCTACTCAGGAGGGTGAGGTGGGAGGATCTCTTGAGCACAGGAGTTTGAGGCTGCAGTGAGCGTTGATTGTGCCACTACACTCCAGCCTGGATGACAGAGTGAGAATAAGTCTCTAAAAAAAATAAAAATATAAATATAATAAGATTAAAATAAATTAAAAAATAATGAGGCCAGGCCTCACGCCTGTAGTCCCAGCACTTTGGGAGGCCAAGGCAGGTGGATCACCTGAGGTCAGGAGTTCGAGACCAGCCTTGCCAACATAGTGAAACCCATCTCTACTAAAAATACAAAATTAGCCGGGTGTGGTGGCACACACCTGTAGTCCCAGCTACTCAGGATGCTGAGGAACAAGAATTGCTTGAACCTGGGAGACAGAGGTAGGAGTGAGCCAAGATAGCGCCATTGCACCCCAGCCTGGGAGACAAGAGCGAAACTCCATCTCAAATAAAATAAAATAAAATAAAATATTTAAAAAAATAATAAAGCAGGATTAACCAGGCATCCTAGGAGTATAATTACCCTACAATATCACCCAATTGAATACAAAACTCTGTCATTTTAGCATTTTGTCTTTTTAAGTCAAATATACCTAGATTTGACTCTCTTCAGATATTTCCAAAAGAGTCAATTACCTCTTAAATTCAGATATTTGTCTTTAATATACTTATGGTGAGCATGAACTACAAACTAGTTAAGAATGAGAGTCTAAACCCCACTCTTTCACTCTCCTTGGTTGGCCTTACCAAAAAGAAAAAAAATAATAAAGACAGAGTAACTTCTCTTAAATGTTTCAAAACAAAATAATTAAGATGAATCTGGGTAAACAATCATGAAACTCAGTGAGGTATTTCCTTTATTTTTAATGGTTACAGACTCAGAGTCTGTCATGGAAATAGCTGCATAGTTTTGACTCTGCCTAATCGCTCAGTGAAATTACATCACAGGAGGGCGCCTGTGCCTTGTGGGGGCTCTGAATAGCATGTACCCCTTTGGCCATTTGGGACCTGCCTGCTGAGCTGTGAAGTGGCAGGTTTTTTTCCAGTGTACGGACTCTTCCTAATTATATAGCATCATGACAATTTGTGCAGCCTAATTAGGGGAGGTTATCCAACCCTGATTGAGGACACTCAATAAACAATAATGAAAAAGACAGCTTTAATTGTCCTGAGGCTTGAAATTTCTCCCACGGAAAATATCAGGGGCAGTGGCTAGATGACTGGATTGCTAAGAAAAGGGTAATTCTCTCTACCAGGGAAGGGAGTAAATCTTGAAAGCAGCCATGAAAATAAACATCAAAAAACCTCCCAGCCCTCAAATGTTATTTGGTCTCTTTCCCTCCAAAAGACATTCAGGTAGTAAAGGGAATGAAATCAACACTCCTTAGTTGCCTGATAGAAATACTAAGTCATTCCAATCAGAAAGAGAGTTGTAATTAAGACTACTACACTAGCTGACTTCCAGGTGATGGTGGTGTATTTGTTTCTCAGTATAAAATGGCATGGGAATACTTTTCAACAATAAAAAGAAAGGAAGTACTCTTCTACAATGCCTCACGGATGAACCTCAAAAACATTCTGTGCAGAGAAGGAAGCCCCACAAAGTATAATTCCATCTATAAGAAACGACCGCTAAGGCAAATCTATAGAGACAGGAAATCGGTTAGTGTTTGCCTAGGACTAGGAGTGGGAGAAGAGATTGACAATGGCGAGGAGGGATCCTTTTGGGGAGGATGAACCTGTTCTGAAATTGGCTTGTGGTGATGGTTGTACAGCTCTGCAAATTTACTAAACATCATTGAATTGTACACTCAAAATGGATGGATTTTATGGCATGTAAATTGTAACTAAATAAGGCTATTTGAAAAAAGTTGATATTGTACCAGGAAGTTAGCGTCTAGGCCTGGGTCTGGTTCTTCGGCTGCCATGCAGGTTGCCTGTCACTAACACTCCTCAAGAATTCTGCTCCGTCTCCATTTCCATTTGTAAAACGTTAGCGGGATGGTGCGGGGAGAAGAACACATTATCAAATCTGAGATTCTGTGTAGTCACAAAACACCAAGTCTGGGAATTTGGAAAGGCAATCAGGCGTAAATTATCTCCTGAGGTGAAAAAGAAGCAAAGGTACCGGCTGCCGGGGTCTGGGCCACCTCACACGCGTGGCTTTAGGCAGGAGCGCAAATGGAACCACTGGGGAAAGTAGGACTCCAGCAGAAACGAAGGCCAAAGGCCGAATCCCTAAGGTCCAACGAGCTAGCAGTCAGTTGACAGGGTTTCTAACGAAAACGAGGCATGCGTTTACCAAACCTAGGGTGGTTTTACTTCAGAAGTAGGAACTCCGTTTCCACCAGAGCACCAAGATGGGAAGTTCGGTTCTCAGGCCGCGCGGATTTGGCAGCTATCAGAAGCCCCGGGCCTCGGGGGGTAGTGGGTGGGAAGTGGGGGGTGGGAGGGCCTGGGTAGCTGCCACCGCTGCCTCAACAGCCCTGGTCCCCGCAGAGCCGGGCTGGCAAGGCCGCTGCTCCCGCCGTCGGGGCCGCCGGCCTTCCGCACTCGTTGAGACGCCGGCGCGGGGACCTTCGTGCCCCCTCTAGGGACCCGCGCCGCGTCCAGGTGGCCAAGCCCGCGCTGCTGGAGGAGGCGCCTCCGCGCCGGCCTCACCCCGGGGCCGGCAGGGGGCGAAGGCGGAGCTGGAAGGTCGCCGCCCGGCCCCGGGGGATCGGCTCCCGCGCCCTCCCGCGCCCCCCGCACAGTGCTCATGCGCGCGGCCCAGCCTTTATAGCGGCCACGGGTGCCGTGGCTTCCGCACTCGGGCGCAGCCGGGTGGATCTCGCACAGGTGCGGAGCCCCGGGCGGCGGGCGCGGGTGAGAGGGATCCCTGACGCCTCTGTCCCTGTTTCTTTGTCGCTCCTAGCCTGTCTGTCTTCATATTGGCGCCCCCGCCTCCCCGCGGTGCGGGGTTGCACACCGATCCTGGGTTTGGTTCGATTTGCCGCCGAGGCGCCTCCTCCAGACCTAGAGGGGCACTGGCCTGGAGCAGCGGGTCGTCGGTGTCTTCTCTCCTCTGCGCCGCGCCCGGGGGTCCGAGGGGTGCGGGGCTCTGAGGTGACGCGCGGGGCCTCCCGCACCCTGGCCTTGCCCGCATTCTCCCTCTCTCCCAGGTCTAAGCAGCCTCTCAGTCACCATGTCCGCAGCCTGGATCCCGGCTCTCAGCCTTGGTGGGTGCGCGCCCCTGACGACCCCGTCCCCTTGCTCCGCTGGGTGGAGGCTGGAGCCAGCCCTCGCGCTTTTCTCTTCGCAGGTGTGTGTCTGCTGCTGCTGCCGGGGCCCGCGGGCAGCGAGGGAGCCGGTGAGTCGGGGAGTTGGGGTGCGTCCAGGCGGTCGCAGGGGCTGAGCCCCCGGGTACAAACGGGACTCAGATCCAGCCCCCTGGGCATCGGCCAGAGAGCCCGAGATGGAAGGCGCGGAGGTTGGAGCCGCCGCGTGGCGCGCCCGCGTTAACCCCTGCAGCCGATCTGCTCTTGCTCACCTGTTTCTCCCATGGTAGGGGGCCTCTGGGGTCCGGTGGGGGGACGTTCTCCTAGAGCATTAGGAAGAACGCCTCCTCCAGTCCCACCCACAGCTCCAGACCCCGGGCCCGCCGAGCGCCGGCAGCAGGAGGTCAAGGAAGGAGGACTCCTTGAGCCTCACCGAGGCGCACCCGTCCCGGGCTCCGCTGCATTTGGGGTGGAGGAGAAGCCGCCCAGACCCGACTTGAGGTTGCCGTAGCGGAGAGAGAGGGGGGCGAACGTTGCTGTCCCACCTTGTTTGACTCGCTAGCTATGTTTCTAGGTGTAACCCCTATAATCAGAAGCACTTGCGGTCTCATTCTACACGTGAGAGTCTAAAAAGTTTGTACCACGTGTGGAGGTCCGGGTATGGGCGTGTGGTTTGGTGTATTTTCTACAGTGTAAAAGGCAACGCTTTCCTAAGAGCTACCGTTTGTTTTCCTTGAAAGTAGGAATGAGGGTAAGTATCCCACATGGCTGTGTTTTTCCCGCTCCACTTAACAAAAGTCAGTGTTCGCAACTAAAGGCGGTCGGTCTCGGCACCGGATTCTGATGCCGCCCCCACCTCAGCGGAAAATGGGAGGAAGGATTAAGGCTGTTTGATGATAGGTATGAGGCTGTTTGAGGGTAAGGATTTTAACCTCTCAGCTCTTCAGACTGTTTCAGAGCTAAGAAATGGGCATTGCGCCTGCATCCTTCCTTCTCTTCCATGGAATGTAAAGTCCAGGGTACCTGTCACCACAAAGGGCACAGAGGAGGGTGTTTTTCACAGGCAAGGTACTCAGTTGAACAGTATGACCAGAAAGTATTCCTCTGCCCTGGAAAAAAGGTTTTTGAAATGAATACATGTTTTAGAAAGGTTTGGATAACTACAATTTCCCATGTTTGAAAAATAGCATTTAATAACATTAATCTCAATTTAGTATCGACAGTAAATTCACAGATTAACGTGTTGTATTATGTTGTTACTTGATGCCAAGAGCTTGTCTCTTCCTAGCATCATTTATGGTAAAAACTTTGATTCTTTGTTAGGTTGACAGTGTAAAACTTGAGAATATTAACAGTGCTTTCTAAAAATGCATTCACTCCTTGATAAATCTCTTTGGACAGATCTGGAGCAGAAATAATCAGGTTCAATTAAGATAAAAATGCTCTATTCTGAAGGGATTCACTTTTCTGTTTTCTGTCCTTCGGGAGTTGTAGAATGTTGTTTGGGCAAATTAACCCCACGGCTTTAATTTTCTCATCTATAAGATGAACAATCGAGTTAAATAACTTTCTGTGAATCTAAACATCTTTTTGTTGGTTCCCTTAATGTGTGATTTTAAGGATCTGCATTTGTAGGCTAAGATAAATGGTCCTATGCAGGAAAGGATGGCTTTGATTTGTGCACATGTCTATGAAAATGTTCCACAAAGGTTCGATCCAGATTTACTATTTTTACCTCAAGCAACTATGTACACAGTGTCATCACAGTTGAGATTTAAAAAAATTTTTTTTCCTTCTCGAGACAAGATCTTATTCTGTCACCCAGGATGGAGTGCAGTGATGCAATCATAGCTCACGGTAAGCTCGAACTCCTGGGCTCAAGCAATCCTCCCACCTCAGCCTCTCAGTAGCTGAGAGTACAGGCATACACCACCACGTGTGGCCATTTAAAAAAATTTTTTTCTTTTTTTTAGAAGAGATGAAGTCTCGCTATGTTGTCCAGGTTGGTCTTGAGCTCCTGGACTCAAGCAGATCCTCTTGTCTTGGCCTGCTAAAGTGCTGGGATTATAGGCATGAGTCACCAAGCCCAGCCAAGATTTTTTGTATTTCTATAGTTAATAAGTATTAAATGACCTTTATTTTCTACTTCAGATATAGTTCCAATTATATATTTCCAACCTGATTAAGAACTGAGAAGCCAGGCACAGTGGCACACCTGTAATCCCAGCTACTAAGGAGGTAGAGATGGATCACTTGAGCTCGGGAATTTGAGCCTAGCTTGGGCAACTTGGCAAGTCCCCATTTCAAAAACAAAAACAAAATAAAAACCCAGAACTTTCACATTAGACTTTTACAGTGGCTGGGGACTATATTAAATTGGAAAACAACCTTGTGGTTTGCCAAAATCCGGAATGGTATGGAATGGTATATAAGTCAATATTCATAACTAGAAGAGTAGAAATTAGGGAAGTAAAACTTAAATCTCACACGGTAGTCTCCCCACCACTATGCCCCAAGAAGTCCTAAGAATGCTTACAATATTATCTCCTTTCTCTTCAGCTCCCATTGCTATCACGTGTTTTACCAGAGGCTTGGACATCAGGAAAGAGAAAGCTGATGTCCTCTGCCCAGGGGGCTGCCCTCTTGAGGAATTCTCTGTGTATGGGAACATAGTATATGCTTCTGTATCGAGCATATGTGGGGCTGCTGTCCACAGGTAAGCCCAAACACACCAGGGTGGGAGAGAAATGCAAACATGATTATTTCCTTTCCTGCTTTAGCCATCTGGATCCCTTTCTTCCCTGCATTCTTTCTTTTGGTGCCATTGTGGCCATAGAAAATGGATATATTTTCAAGGTTCTCCTGGATATACTTGAAACACGAAATACACATGGAAAGCTTTCTCACAAAAGGCAAATTGCATTACTTCTTGATGGCTAGATTGCTGTGATTCCAAAACATTCCTAATCATGTGATATGTTACTGAGTTATTACTATGTGCCAGCTATTGTTTTAACTTCCACCACAACTTGACCAGATAGGTAGAATTTTACTCCAGTTACAGATAAAGAAACTGAACTCAGAGAGTTGTCAAGTATCTTGCCCCAGGTGACTATTGTTAGCAAGTGCCAAGCTATCCTGTAGTAGAATAGCCAGTATAATACTCCTAAAAACAGTCAGTCCAAGGGCATGTAGTTAAAGAGAGTATCTTAGGAAAATTGTTTGGTGCTCTGAATTTCTAAGTTGTAGGTAACAGGATATTACAAATGTGTTCTTATCAACACTTAGGAAGTTCGACAGCACAAAACGATTTTTTTCCAGGCAAATTTTGCTCTTGTGTAAGCAAGTTTTTAAAAGGCTAGCAGCAGCTGGGAGTGGTGGCTCATGCCTGTAATCCCACCACTTTGGGAGGCTGAGGCAGGCAGATCACTTGAGGTCAGGAGTTCAAGACTTAGATAACATAGTGAAACCCTGTCTCTACTAAAAATACAAAAATTAGCCAGGCGTGGTGATGCACGCCTGTAAATCCCAGCTACTTGGGAGGCTAAGGCAGGAGAATCGCAGCCCGGGAGGTGGAGGTTGCAGTGAACCGAGATCACGCCACTGCACTCCAGCCTGGGCTACAGAGAGAGACTCCATCAAATAAATAAATAAATAAATAAATAAATAAATAAACAAACAAAATAAGCAGAATCTTTTGATGACTTCCCTGATGAGCTATTTTCTTGATTAATCAAAGCAATAGATACAACATGGCACTATAAGTCAGTGGGATGCCCTGAAAAAAGTGTGGATAGCATCTCAGCTGCTATTCTTGTGTTGCAGGGGAGTAATCAGCAACTCAGGGGGACCTGTACGAGTCTACAGCCTACCTGGCCGAGAAAACTATTCCTCAGTAGATGCCAATGGCATCCAGTCTCAAATGCTTTCTAGATGGTCTGCTTCTTTCACAGTAACTAGTAGGTATAATTACTGTTCTCATCCTGTAATATTCTCCCACCCCCCAAAAGTTTTCTGCTTTTTTTAGCTCAGCCTCTTTAACCTTGATGGAAAAACCTGTGATCAAGACTGAAGTTGACCTATAGAGGTAAACTGTAGGTTAGACTGAGGGGTCAAGTACCCACTGAAGCCAAATATGGGTGAATAGAAGACAATCTTACTGGCAGATGATGGCAATAGAAACTTGAATTATCTGCTGTCAGAATGCCCGGACACTTACCAAGGAACTGAAAAACTACTGAATTCATTTTTGATGATCCTTTGAAGATATAATGGATAAGCATTTTGGTTCTCTGAAATTAGCATGCAGTAGGATGTTTGTAACTACAATCACCATTACCCTGTTACATTTGTCATCGTAGAGAGCCCTAAATTAGATTCATAATACTTTGGTAAAGAAGGAAAAGGAAAAAGTAAGCTTATTTTTATTTTAACAGAAGGCAAAAGTAGTACACAGGAGGCCACAGGACAAGCTGTGTCCACAGCACATCCACCAACAGGTATGAACTATGAAACCTATCTCCTAGTTGCCAGCACAGCATTTGGAAGTTATGAATAAATGTGTTGTTGGTAGAAGCTTTGCTTAAAGAAAGTTGGTATTAAAGAGAAACAAAGCAAATGTCTTAAGTTTACTGGTATATTACATATAGAAACATTCAATTTTATGTACATATTTTAAAGACAGGGTCTCCTTCTATTGCTCAGGCTGGAGTGCAGTGGTGCAATCATAGCTCACTGCAGCCTTAAACTCCTAGACTCAAGCAACCTTCTCACCTTGGCCTCCTGAGTAGGTGGTACTACAGGCACATGCCACCACATCCAGCTAATTTTTTTACTTTTTTGTAGAGACAGAGGACTAGCTATGATGCCCAGGCTGGTTTGAACTCCTGACCTCATGCAGTCCTCCCACTTCAGCCTCCCAAAGTTCAGGGATTACAGGCATGAGCCACTGCAGCCAGCCTAATAATTCTCTTAAAGTCCTATTTTCTCCCAGATTTGATAAACCACACCTCAGAACTGGTCAAATACCATGAACTTCCAGTTCCGTTTGCTTCATTAAATTCCTTTAATTACTGCACTGTCATGTGAATAAGGAATGTGTGTCTATTATAAGAAATAGGGCCGGGCGTGGTGGCTCACGCCTGTAATCCCAGCACTTTGGGAGGCCGAGGCGAGAGGATCCCGAGGTCAGGAGATCCAGACCATCCTGGCCAACACAGTGAAACCCCATCTCTGCTAAAAATACAAAAAATTAGCCGGGCGAGGTGGCGGGCGCCTGTAGTCCCAGCTACTCGGGAGGCTGAGACAGGAGAATGGCGTGAACCCGGGAGGCGGAGCTTGCAGTGAGCCAAGATCGCGCCATTGCGCTCCAGCCTGGGTGATGAGCAAGACTCCATCTCAAAAAAAAAAAAAAAAAAAAAAGAAATAGCCAGGGAACCCCTTTTGTATGACTATGGCAGTTTTAAAGTCAAAGATATTAAGAACATTAGGATCTAATGTTGAGTTCCTGCCTCACCTGTGGGTTTGGGATCAAAGTCCTGGATTAGAGGCATATCAAATATGTAGGCCTACATACTGATTTGTTTATTTGTTGAGTCATTGCTTTCCCTAGTCCAGAAAATCCTGAGGAAATTAAATTTTTTGAAAAAGTCCTTTCGAGAATGGCACTCTGTTGTTATGGGCTTCTCCCCATGTGGGTTTCTTGCTATGTAACTGTCTTTTGTTAATGCCAAGTGCATCTTTTATTTCAGGTAAACGACTAAAGAAAACACCTGAGAAGAAAACTGGCAATAAAGGTAAGAATCAAGATCTCCATTTGGGAAGGCAGCATTTTCCCTCCCTCCTCCTGAGACTGCTAACGAGGGGACTGGTTTGGTTGTTCACAGATTGTAAAGCAGACATTGCATTTCTGATTGATGGAAGCTTTAACATTGGGCAGCGCCGATTTAATTTACAGAAGAATTTTGTTGGAAAAGTGGCTCTAATGTTGGGAATTGGAACAGAAGGACCACATGTGGGTCTTGTTCAAGCCAGGTACCAACCTTGTTAAAATGGGAGATTTTTTAAAAATTATGTATTTATTTTGTAATTGACACATAATAATTATATATACTTATGGGGTACATAGTAATGGTTTCATACATACAATGTATAGTGATCAAATCAGAGCAATTAGCATATCCATCACCTCAAACATTGATCACTTCTTTGTGTTGGATACATTCAAAATCAAATGAGGCTGGGCGCAGTGGCTCATGCCTGTAATCTCAGCACTTTGGAGGCCAAGGTGGGTGTGTGGATCACCTGAGGTCAGGAGTTTGAAACCAGCCTGGCCAACATGTGAAACCCAGTCTCTACTAAAAATACAAAAATTACCCAGACGTGGTGGCATGCGCCTGTAATCCTAGCTACTTGGGAGGCTGAGGCAGGAGAATCACTTGAACTCGGGAAACAGAGGTTGCAGTGAGCTAAGATTGCACCACTGCACTCCAACCTGGGCAACAGAGAGACTATGTCTCAAAAATAAATAAATAAATAAATAAATAAATAAATAAAATGAGAGGCGATTTCAATGATGTCTTGAATGATGACAAATGATCAATCCTTTTAGTGGGTACATGTCAATTCAGTATAAACATTTTGAGTTATGGAAACACTGGATTCCTAAACTGTAAGTTCAGGATCTAAGACTGCCTGGGCAGACTGAGTAGTTCTGAGTGCCTTCTTTTTGGAATAAAAGAATTTAGAAAACTGTGCGCTATCTATATAAGAACAAGAAGGTAGATTGGAGAGTCCTGTTGCTTACACAAGTCACCTCTGCTTATCTACTCTGCTCAATTCCTAATTTCTCTTTTCTGAAGGAAGAAGCAGTGATATGTCTATTCCACCTCCCTATTCTGTTATGCTTTTTAGCTCTTTCCATATTCTCTTGGTTGGTGATCTGAAGCATGACCTTTCTATTTTATTCATTTAAAAATTGTATTAATTGCTGGCCAGGCAGTGGCTCACGCCTGTAATCCCAGCACTTTGGGAAGCCGAGGCAGGCAGATCATGAGGTCAGGAGATCGAGACCATCCTGGCTAACATGGTGAAACCCCTTCTCTACTAAAAATACAAAAAAAATTAGTCAGGAGTACTGGCGGGCGCCTGTAGTCCCAGCTACTTGGGAGGCTGAGGCAGGAGAATGGCATGAACCTGGGAAGTGGGGCTTGCAGTGAGCCGAGATCACGCCACTGCACTCCAGCCTGGGTGACAGAGCAAGACTCTGTTTCAAACAAACAAACAAAAAATATATATTTAGCTTTTAGAATATAGAATATGCTTATTGTAGAAAGCTTGAAAATACATAAAGCACAAAAAAAGAAATTCCCTAAATCATATGCCCTAGAGATAATTACTATAAAATGTTTTATTTCCCTTCAGTACTTTTTTTTTTTTTTTTTCTTTTGAGATGGAGTTTTGCTCTGTCAACGAGGCTGGAATGCATTGGCGCGATCTCTGCTCACTACAACCTCCACCTCCCAGGTTCAAGCGATTCTCCTGCCTCAGCCTCCTGAGTAGCTGGGATTACAGGTGTGCACTACCATGCCTGGCTAATTTTTGTATTTTTAGTAGAGACAAGGTTTCACCATGTTGGCTAGAACTCCTAACCTCAGGTGATCCACCTGCCTCGGCCTCCCAAAGTACTAGGATTACAGGTGTGAGCCACCACGCCTGGCCCCTTCAGTATTTTAAGGAAATATTTGACTGTATTATTTTTTAAAAGCTCAGACTATAAAAAATGCCTTACATCCTGTTTTTTTCATCCTTTAGTATTTTGAGCATTTTCTCATATCATAAATATTCATCAAAAATATTTCATAATATTCCTCTGCATAATTATTTAGCCATTCTTTTGTTTTTTCACTACATTACACACTACACTGTGATGAACATCCTTATATTATCTTTGTGCCCATCTCTGATTATTTTATCACATTAGATTTCTACAAGTGAGGTTCTGACTTAAAGCCTCTGATATAAATAGTGAAATTGAGCCATGCACAGTGGCTCATGCTTGTAGTGCCAGCTGCTCAGGAGGCTGAGGTGTGAGGATCTCAAGCCCAGGAGTTCAAGGCTGCAGAGAGCTATGATGGCACCACTACACTCCAGCCTGGACAACAGAGCAAGACCCCATCTCTAAAAAAACAAATAAATAGCAAAATTGCTTCCTAGAAAGGTGAACTAGTTTAAATTACTATCAGCAGTGTATAAGGATGTATAAACAATGCTATTACAAATATTAATTTGCATTTCATCTATGTTATTTTTTACAAGTGGCTCTGCTCTTAGTTTAGATAGAATTTTTTTGGCATGAGAAGAAAATTTAACTCTTTTTACATAATTTAACCATTTGTCTCTCACCCTTAAAAAAATGGGTTCCTTGGCCGGGCGCGGTGGCTCAAGCCTGTAATCCCAGCACTTTGGGAGGCCGAGACGGGCGGATCACGAGGTCAGGAGATCGAGACCATCCTGGCTAACACGGTGAAACCCCGTCTCTACTAAAAAATACAAAAAAAAAAACTAGCCGGGCGAGGTGGCGGGCGCCTGTAGTCCCAGCTACTCGGGAGGCTGAGGCAGGAGAATGGCGTAAACCCGGGAGGCGGAGCTTGCAGTGAGCTGAGATCCGGCCACTGCACTCCAGCCTGGGCGGCAGAGCGAGACTCCGTCTCAAAAAAAAAAAAAAAAAAAAAAAATGGGTTCCTTGTTTCATTGACTTATAGTATCATATTTATACCTAAGTTTGAGCAAGTCTATTTCTTTGATTCATATGCTAATCTTTACATATTTTTTCTGCACTTCTTTAATTATCATAGTTTTCTTGCACATTTTAACATCCCATGAGGCAAATTCCCCTGCAATACTTTTTGTCTGATACTTTTTTCTGACTATTTTGACCCAATTCTTTTTGAAGATCAATGCTTCATTACCTTGTAGACTCATACAAAGACTAGCTTCTTGTAACTTCCTGGTTTGTAGTTTTTCTGTTTCAGAAAGACCATTAGAATAGATAAACCCTGTCAAGTTTATATGTAAGTCAAAGGACAGAACATATCATTAAGGATACAAAAACGAGACTAATTTCCTAAGTCATAATCTGGATAGTTGAAAAGTGACCACAAGTGAAAAGGTTTTCAACCCATGGAATCTGATTTTATGACCCAATATTCCATCATGTATGTGTGCAGAAATGCAGTCAGTGTTATACTTCTCCCTGAAAAAATCTTGAATAAAATAGCTACTGATAATGCTAAGATCTTAAAATTTTGCACTATGAAATACTGACTCATCTGAAATCTAAACACAGCAGACTGTGCTTTGGTTGTTTATACTCAATACAGTCTCTGATGAACACAGAGTAGTTATATAAAAGCTGAAATTCCTTTAATATTAAATATAGGAAATGAGATCACAAAACTCTTATAATACACATAATTTTAAGGTCCACAAATGTCACTGTCATCATAAGAAAAACTCAATATTGTAACTTTATAATTCACCTTTTTCCCTTTAAAAAAATGTTGACCATCACATCAGTGAAATTGTTTCTCCTGAACAGAGAGACCTGGGTTAACAGATCCACACTACTTAGAGCCTCTGGGTCCCACGATGGAACAGACCCTAGTTTCACACCCAGCCACTTCCTAATTTAGTTTAGCTACCTAGTGCCCAATTCTGTGGAATTCTGTTAAACCCAAGGCTCTCAGCCAAACCTGATTTCAAGTTCTTCATATAGTTTAGGCGTGGACTTTGGAGCCAGACAACCTGAACTTAAAATGCAGCTGTGTTTCATCAGGCAAACTCCCTAAATGCTCTGAGCCTCAGTTTCTTCATTTACATAATTGGGATAATTCCAACCTTGTAGAGCTATAATGAAATGAGGTTATACATGTGTTATGCTTTTGACTTATTATCCAGAATATAATAAATCCTCAATATGGCAATTCTTTGTTACACCTCTGAAATATCCCCAATAATTCCAGTAAGGATGCAATGCCTTAGTTGACTATGTACTGTGGAATTAAGAAAGAAACTTGTGTGTTGTCTGGTTTTAAAACTGTTTTTTAAGGCATGTAATGTTGCTTATTTTACCTTTTTAATTCTCCCTGGGTAACATTTTCTTTCTTCCACTTAGTGAACATCCCAAAATAGAATTTTACTTGAAAAACTTTACATCAGCCAAAGATGTTTTGTTTGCCATAAAGGAAGTAGGTTTCAGAGGGGGTAATTCCAATACAGGTAAGTAGACTTCAATACCTGGGAAGTAATATAGGAGAGGGTTATCAGTGATCAGACATGTAAAACAGTATTATGCTATTTTATATGAGCAGATGTGAAATCCTCCTGGAACTGAAATATTGGCTAGGTCTGCATTTGATCATCTGAGATAAATTTTCAATTTATAAGGGAAGTATACTAAAGTGTGTTGATGTTTCTTATTTTTAAAAATATAAAGCATGGTGATTTAGAATTCTCATATGTTGGATTGACTAGATATATAACATTGGAGAAGTATCTCTTTTACTGCTAAAAAGAAGTGAAGATCAATAGACTTATCTAATGAATGCAGACATGGCAGAAAGAATGAGAGTAGCACTACTGTTGACTCTGAAGAGAGACTTCTTAGAGGCACTAATCAGTCACCAAAGGGCTACATAGAGAGCACATGCACAGAAGTGGGAATCAGTTTTGTGTTTCTAACTGGCAATTAATGTGGGATAAGCAAATGTGAGGCTTCTAGGAGGTGGAGGGGGAACTAATATGGTTTGTGAAGAGAAAAAAATAGGCCTGGTAGATAATTAAACTTTCCCAGCTGATGCATCTGTTACAGAACTGGGTTCTATATAATTCTTTTTTGTGTGTGCCCCACCCCACTGCCAATTCTATATATAATTCTTAAACTTTGCAGCATCAAATGCTACAGGGAAACAGAAATGTGGTTTGAGCAGTGGTAAATGCTACTTGTTTGCTTCTTTTTCAAATTTAGGAAAAGCCTTGAAGCATACTGCTCAGAAATTCTTCACAGTAGATGCTGGAGTAAGAAAAGGGATCCCCAAAGTGGTGGTGGTATTTATTGATGGTTGGCCTTCTGATGACATCGAGGAAGCAGGCATTGTGGCCAGAGAGTTTGGTGTCAATGTATTTATAGTTTCTGTGGCCAAGCCTATTCCTGAAGAACTGGGAATGGTTCAGGATGTTACATTTGTTGACAAGGTAAAGTGGTGAGGGTCATCTTCTGTTACAGTGATAGGTATTCCATTTTGGACCTCTAAGTGCAGTGCTGACTGCCTGTTATCTATATTAACTTGTAACATTCAGGATTTTCCACAGGTTTTAAGAAGAAACAACTTTTGATCCTTTTGGATATCTTTTATTTGTCTCCCCCATTAGGCTGTCTGTCGGAATAATGGCTTCTTCTCTTACCACATGCCCAACTGGTTTGGCACCACAAAATACGTAAAGCCTCTGGTACAGAAGCTGTGCACTCATGAACAAATGATGTGCAGCAAGACCTGTTATAACTCAGTGAACATTGCCTTTCTAATTGATGGCTCCAGCAGTGTTGGAGATAGCAATTTCCGCCTCATGCTTGAATTTGTTTCCAACATAGCCAAGACCTTTGAAATCTCGGACATTGGTGCCAAGATAGCTGCTGTACAGTTTACTTATGATCAGCGCACGGAGTTCAGTTTCACTGACTATAGCACCAAAGAGGATGTCCTAGCTGTTATCAGAAACATCCGCTATATGAGTGGTGGAACAGCTACTGGTGATGCCATTTCCTTTACTGTTAGAAATGTGTTTGGCCCTATAAGGGAGAGCCCCAATAAGAACTTCCTAGTAATTGTCACAGATGGGCAGTCCTATGATGATGTCCAAGGCCCTGCAGCTGCTGCACATGACGCAGGTAAGGTCCTTGTTCTTTATAGGAGAAGGGAACAGAAAAAAACAGTTCAGTGAATTTTAGGAGTAAATAAAAATTTAAGCATTTCATTGAACAAAAACCTGCAGCTTTACCCAATAGTAACTGTCAAAGCAGCCCTACTAATCTCATTCTACAGATAAGGAAACAAACCTCCTGGAAATGACACATCTAGTAAGTGGCAAGGCCAAGATCCAAACCCAGGCATTCTGGCTCCAGAGTCCACATTCCTAACCACTGTATTGTTGGGAGAATTGTCATGAGAACCATGTCACGTTAAGGAAATGTTACAGGTGCTCACATTTAGCTCAAACTTGGACTATATCTCCAAATAGCCAGCTTATAACCTACCATGAATCTGCCATTCAGTAATTTATCCTAACTTTCTTGTGTATGAAACAGGTTGTTGCTCTGTCACCAGGTTGGAGTGCAGTGGCATGATCAGAGCTCACTACAACCTCCAACTATTGGGCTCAAGCAATCCTCCTGTGTCAGCCTTCCACGTAGCTAGGACGACAGGCATATGCCACTGCGCCTGGCTAATTTTTAAATTTTTTTTTTGTAGAGATGGGGGTCTCACTTTGTTGCCCAGGCTGGTCTCAAACTCCTGGGCTCAAGCATTCCTCATACCTCGGCCTCCCAAAGTGCTGCGATTACAGGCATAAGCCACCGCACCCAACCCTAACTTTTATTTTAGTCAAGTTTTGTCTGGCATGAGTTTCCTGAGATAAGGTCTCCCATAGTCTTTACCTATCCCCCTTGGCCACGTGCAGTGGCTCACACCTATAATTCCAGCATTTCGGGAGGCTGAAGTGGGCAGATCACCTGAGGTCAGGAGTTCAAGACCAGCTGGGCCAACATGGTAAAAACCAATCTCTACTAAAAATACAAAAATTAGCCGGGTGTGGTAACATACACCTGTAATCCCAGCTACTCAGGAGGCTGAGGCACGAGAGTCACTTGAACCCAGAAGGCTGAGGTTGCAGTGAGCTGAAATCGTGCCATGGCACTCCAGCCTGGGTGACAGAGGGAGACTTTGTCTCAAAAAGAAAAAAAAAACCTTCCTTTTTTCTCCCCCTTAAGATAATAAACACACACTCTGGTGTTATAAAAGGGTATAAGAAGTATTTCTTTTTCTTTCTTCCTCACCCCAGCCTTAATATTACTTTTGGCACAGGCCTCGTTCCTGAGGACATTAACATAATGTGTCGGAGATCAAATAGACCAACAAAAAGCTAAGATTCCCTTTCTGAGGATATAACTGAGTGACAGGAGGGAAGAATCAATGGACTTGCTGTTTTTATACTCTTCTGTACCTCCTTTTCCCTACTTAATTCCTAATGACATAACCTTTTTCCTTTCTACACATTAGTACCTCTGCCAATGTACTTACCTATTTTTACAGATACTGATGAAAGATTATTCTTAAGACAGAGAAGATATGCAACTTAAGTTCCACATCTAGCTTATAAAGTGTTTTTTTTTTTTTTTTTTTTTGAGATGAAGTCTCGCTTTGTCGCCCAGGCTGGAGTGCAGTGGCGCAATCTCGGCTCACTGCAAGCTCCGTCTCCTGGGTTCACACCATTCTCCTGCCTCAGCCTCCGAGTAGCTGGGACTACAGGCGCACACCACCACGCCCGGCTAGTGTTTTTTTGTATTTTTAGTAGAGACGGGGTTTCACCGTGTTAGCCAGGATGGTCTCGATCCCCTGACCTCATGATCTGCCCGCCTCGGCCTCCCAAAGTGCTGGGATTATAGGCGTGAGCCACCGCGCCCGGCATAAAAAGTATTTTTTATACATCAGCAACTAATCTGTGAAGTAAAGACCTGTTTACTCTCATGTTCCTTAATACTTAGCTTACTGAACTTATAGATAACAGGATTGTATTCAGGCTATAAAGTGATTAGGTTCATTAAACTTCAGAAGGCTGGACTACACCAAAATTGATTCATGAAAATTATCCCTTAGTGATATTGAAAGTTGCAAAGGCCAGAAAATAGGGTAGGATTTTAGGGCTAGATCACAACTGTTTTTATTTATTTTCAGGGTCTTGCTCTGTCACCTAGCCTGGAGTACAGTGGTGTGATTGTTTTATTTTTTAAAACTGTAATTATATGCTGGGCTTGAGCTAAAAAATCTGAACTAGAATGTATAACTGAAAAGAAGTGAGGAAAACTGAGGGGGAGGAAAAAAATGTTTTGACTTTTTTTTTTTTTTTTTTTTTTTTGCCAGGGAGTAGGAGTCAGGAAAAGGAGACTGGAACAATTGGAAATTGTTCCAAGTAGCTTTTACATCATATAAACCTGCTGTGTATCTTAAGTGTTTACCACTCTGAGCACTGTGTACCACTAGAAGGGGGATGAAGCTTTAGATCCGTAGAGGAAATCTATTACAGAAACTCCAAAAGCTATAGAAAATTGCACCCAGCATTAGATAGATGGTACTCTACACTAAGAATCTGCTAAATGAGGCCCGGTGTGGTGGCTCATGCCTGTAATCCCAGCACTTTGGGAGGCCAAGGCAGATGGATCGCTTGAGCCCTGGAGTTTGAGTAAGACCAGCCTGAACAACATGGTGAAACCCCATCTCTACAAAAAAATTAAAAAATTAGCTGGGCTTGGTGGCATACACCTGCAGTCCCAGCTGCTCGAGGATGGGGTTGCCGAGGAGGATCATTTGAGCCCAGGAAGTTGAGGCTGCAGTGAGCCTCGATTGTACCACTGCACTCCAGCATGGGCGACAGAGCCAGACTCTGTCTCAAAAAAAAAAAAAAAAAAAAAAAAAAAGATTAAATGAAAACTTCTACAATTGGGATTGGGGTGAATCCAACCAATGTATCATCACCCTATCTAAATGTACAGTTGTACTAAAAGCCTTCTAGTAACTCAAGTGAATGGAAATAGAATACCTCAATGGAACTGGAAGAAATTACTCCAGTTTCATACAGACCCCTCTTGGGTAGTACTTTTTAATCACTAGTTTTGCTTTGGGATTATAGGCTGACATTTTCTGATTTTAGTTTGCCAGTATTAAAGATTGAAGTGGAAGAGGGTTTGTCATTATCAGAGGACTAGTCACCATTCCTCAAACAACCTTTGCTTTCTTCCTTGCTTTAATGGACTGTGACTGACTCCAGTATACTGTTCGATGCAGGCCAACCTTGTATGGAAAATTTTAACCATCTGCATTTACTGTAGGATTTTTAAAAAGATACTGTGGATCAGGTTAAAACTTTTCTTCTATTCCTAGTTTATTAGATGTGTTCCGTCATTAACGGATGTTGAACTTTATCAAATATTTCTTATCAGTGATCATGACTTACCTGTTCATGTGGTGAGTTACAGATATAGCAGAGTTTCTGGTTTGGACCACTGTTTTGCCACTCTTGTCACAATGACTGTGAAAACTTAAATTTGTTCGGGGGATTTAATTGTCCAGAAATTAGTAAGCAGTTTTTGCTGCAACTATATAACAGTGTATGGAAAACATATAGACATAATTCCATATATTAGATAGACCTGGTTTTTATTCACTTTAAAATGTTTCCATTGTAGGAATCACTATCTTCTCTGTTGGTGTGGCTTGGGCACCTCTGGATGACCTGAAAGATATGGCTTCTAAACCGAAGGAGTCTCATGCTTTCTTCACAAGAGAGTTCACAGGATTAGAACCGATTGTTTCTGATGTCATCAGAGGCATTTGTAGAGATTTCTTAGAATCCCAGCAATAATGGTAACATTTGACAACTGAAAGAAAAAGTACAAGGGGATCCAGTGTATAAATTGTATTCTCATAATACTGAAATGCTTTAGCATACTAGAATCAGATACAAAACTATTATATTAAATATGTCAACAGCCATTTAGGCAAATAAGCACTCCTTTAAAGCCACTGCCTTTTGGTTACAATTTACAGTGTACTTTGTTAAAAACACTGCTGAGGCTTCATAATCATGGCCCTTAGAAACTCAGGAAAGAGGAGATAATGTGGATTAAAACCTTGAGTTCTAACCATGCCTACTAAATGTACAGATATGCACATTCCATAGCTCAATAAAAGAATCTGACACTTAGACCAAAAGCAACATTCCTTCTCTAACCATTCCGTATTGATTATATAAGCAAAATGAAAAGAGAAACTTAAATGGAACACAGCTCTTTAGCATGGTTCAGGTATACATATTTTGACCCAAGTGGATATTTTCTTAAAATCAATCAACAATAGCTAGCTATTACTGCAGACTATAAAATCTGGGTATAGAAAGGAGTCCTGTATCAAACTGCTTTTGTAGTGTGTTTTCATAACAACTTATGACTAAAAATATCACACTGAATAAGAGAGCAGGATTGCCAGGTATTTTTCTATTTCTCTCCTTAATTTTATATGTATATAGATATATTTGGCTTATATTCTAAGTCACCCAAGTACTTAAAAGTTGGTAAAGTATTTACTGACTGCTTATAAACATTTAAAGACATTTCAAGTAACTGCAGGAAAAAATAATGTAATTGGAATACTTAAGCAATAAAACTGCTAGTGAGTGATTGTAAGCTGGCTTACTTTTATTACTGCAAGTGTTTCCCCTGAGGATATGGTAAAAATTCATGTGGAAAGACCAATCTGAATTGTTTTTTAAATCATGTATTAATACCAAGAATATTTTTTGATTCAATTATTTATTGAGGCCAAGCACAGTGGCTCATGCCTGTAATCCCAGCACTTTGGGAGGCTGAAGCGGGAGGACTGCTTGAGGCCAGGAATTCAAGACCAGCCTGGGCAACAGTGAGAACTCTGACTCTACAAAAAAGAAAAAAAAAAAAAAAATTAGCTGGGTGGGATGGTGCATGCCTGTAGTCCGAGCTACTCGGGAGGCTGAGGTGGGAGGACTGCTTGAGCTGAGGTCAACGCTACAGTGAGCCATGATCACACCACTGCACTCCAGCTTGGGTGACAGAGCAAGACCCTATCTATCTCCAAAACAAACGAAAAGACACAAGTTTATTGAATACCTACTGTTCTAGACATTATACACAGCGACTACCTTGTTAAATAGTATAAGATATTTTTGAGTACTTGCTTCACCAGAAATGTTTTGTAATTGACATCATTTTTACTTAAAAATGCTTGTGAAGTTGGTCCCTTCATCCTAATGTGAAAGGAGAACATTAGGACTCCCTTAATATGACTTAGATGATTAGCTCACCAAGGCCTCTCCCAAAAGAAAGAGGTGCTCTATCATCCCATCTTGCCTGTCTTTTCTAAATACGGGTCCTATCTCCTCCTCTCATCCACCTAAGCCCCCTGAAAAAGGTGTTAAACAGTCAGAATAATATACTCCAGTAAATCTTTTGAGTCTTACAGTTTTATACCCTGCATAAGAGGAATAAAAGGAGTACACACAGGGAAAAACTGAACTGGAATTGCCTTTTTCACTACATAAAAATTTGAAATTGAAAATGGAGTTTCAGAAGACAACCTCCCCCTTTATAAAATGCTTCAAACATGACTGAATCATGTAACAAGGATAATTTTAATTAAACATCATAAAAACTGGGTTTAGCATAATATGACTTTCTCCCCAGTAAGTAAACCGAAAACTCTCAGCTAGGAGTACAACCCCTTGGAAAATTAAGCTTTAATGAAAACCCAACTACCACTCATTAGCCCTTTTAAGAAAGTGCTTTTTTCTTTAAATTATATTATAAAGGACCAAGTTTTGAGTCACCTGAAGTAACCAGGGAATAGCAGCAAGAGAGCAGAAATCAGAACCGTAGGTTACTATCAATAATTTTATAAGTAAACATAATCAGGATAAAGGTTATTTACAGGGGACAGAGAGTAAAAAGGAAAGATGTATTACAATCCAACTTAAGCAAACATGCTTAGATTTCAAATATGCTAGCCCATTTATAACTTAATGCATTAAATGCAATGTTAGTCTTCAACGGATGTTACCTAGTTTGAAATAATGAGAAGAACAACATGAAATATGAGAGGCAGAATATGATTAACTATTGAGGGAAGAAATCAACATATTAAGATTTGTATAAAGTACTATTTAATAGTGAAATCAATTTCCCATGTGTCAAATGGAAGCACACATAATGAAAATAAGACATTATTTGTGCATACCTTTAGTCTCTTCCAAAGAGACTAAATACTGCAGAGAAAAATACAACCAAAGGAGGTAACAACAAAATATATATACTAATTTTTATCCATTTCAGTTTTAATACATTCCAAAATACATCAATGTTTATGCATTCCAATAATTATATTTCAGATCAATGGTGATGTACTGGGTTGAAACAGCTGCTAGAAACAATTCTAGCTTTGGAAAAGCTTATTCTTTATTTCAAAAAAGAAGAAACAGAAGAGGAGAAAAGTACCCCCTTTACTTTGTTCTTTAGTTGAATGTTCAGTTCAGAGAAACAAAAAAAATGGTTAAAAAAAAAATTTGCTGGATGCAGTGGCTCACACCTGTAATCCCAGCACTTTGGGAGGCCGAGGCGGGTGGATCACCTGAGGTCAGGACTTTGAGACCAGCCTGACCAACATGGTAAAACCCTGTCTCTACTAAAAATACAAAATTAACTAGGCGTGGTGATGCATGCCTGTAGTCCCAGCTACTTGGGAGGCTGAGGCACAAGAATCACTTGAACCTGGGAGACGGAGATTGCAGTGTGCTGAGATTGCACCATTGCACTCCAGTATGGGCAACAAGTGTGAAACTCCACTCCATCTCAAAAAAAAAAAAAAACCTTGAAAAGTTTGTTTTTCATCAATGACTAAAATTGCCACTTAGATTTTTATGGTAGATGACAAAATTTCTCAATGTGTACAATGTAATTTTTTTCCCCCAGCAACAGCAGCAAGCATTCAAATTGAATTTTACGCGTAAGTTTTCTAGTGTTCCCTTGTAATTTCATCTGCAATTCCCTTCAAAGACAAAGGATATTACCTTATTGAAGACACGTTTCAAAATATTAATGTTTAACATTATTTGTATGACTTTTAACAGGTTTTTTTTTTTTTTTGCCAGAAATGGCAAAAACTGCAATTACTTTTGCACCAACTAAGCTAAATATTCAATGTAGTTTATTTCTTGCTGAATTTTTTTGTAGAAACAGGTATAGCAAATAGGAACAACACTGCCATTAACTGAAATTCAGATTGAAACAGGTTGTCTAAGCAAATTATTTATAACTGCATCTGTGCATTTTTGGGGGTTATTTTGCATTGCATAATTTAATGGAAGATTTTTTTTTAATCCTCAAGTGGGGTGAAATACTTAGACATTATTAATAGTGTTAGTGATCTACTCTTATTAGAATATCAATAAGTAGTACAAAGTTTGAAAGAACAGCATAAAAATGAAGGACTCACTAAGAAATCTCCATTTCCTAGTTTAATTACGGAGAGTAAAGTATTGCACTTTATTATTCAACACAAAATGATGTAGCCAACAGTAACATACAGGTACACAATTTAATATTTATTATATGCATTTTATATACATTATTTTTCAACAGCTGTATGTTTGCTATGTGGTACAATCTTAAAAATTTGCTGATTCATAGTTTGTAAAACAAAAACCTTACAAAACTCATCAAAACTCGCAAACTGATCAGAAAAGTTTCTTGGAAGACTAGAAAAAATACTTTATTGTCTTAATCATGCATTACACAAACAAAATCTTTAGTTACACCATAAAATTAAGCACATCTAAAAAAATAAAACAGGGATAACTAGTCAAAACACAGCAGATTTCTGTATCCTGATTCAACTATTTTAGTATCCTATTTGTAATGCAAATAAAATTTTACTCCAAATATTTTAAAACAAGTTAGTTTTGTTTGGAATCATGGTAAACCAAGATACGTATCTTAGGGGGAACCATCTTGGTTTGTAATTTAAACTATAAAATATTCCATTTTTAGTCTATTTTAGACTATTCAAAGATTTCCAAAATAGATATACAGGTTCCTTTAGCACATTAATAAAAGGATATAAAGACCAACAAAAAGTGAAATAAATAATAGGCCATTAGCAAGATGGATAATCCTTGATAAATAAACTTGTAAATACAGTAAGATGTACAAAATATCACATAGTGATAGGATGCCAAGATTAGTTTTTTTTTAAGAGTTCATTTGGAGTACTAAACTCCACTGTTTCATTTTAATACACTTAATAGTCCTTGGTTTATGAAGACATTTATGTGATGATGAAAGTTATTTAGCATCTTTATGGAAGGACTTAGCTGAGCTGTATTAGGCAACAGAAGGAAAAGAAAGTGGTTACAGGGCAGCGGGTCAGTGAGATCTCTGTGTTTTAGGGTTGTATAATGCAGAAAAACTTCAATACAATCTTGAGCACTGTTGTGACAGGCTAAATATATAAAAAGACTTATAAAAACTAGAATTTTATCCAAACATTTTGTGCAACTAATGCTAAAATATTTTAAGTTAAATTTTCTTTTTCTTTTTCTTTTTTTTAAAGCAAAATAAGTTTAAAAGGGAATCTGTGGCATTCAACCGATAAACAGAAAATCACTAAGAGATGAAAAAAAGCTACTCTTGGAGCTCACTTCCCCCAACAAGAGCACCACATTCCTAACCCTAAGGCAGCACACAGAGTCCAAAAGAAAAGAAAAAAAACCAAAAAACAAAAAAACTTTTTTTGAAAGATCAGACTCCACATTGGCTTAAAGACACCTAAAAACAGACATACGCTCAGTTCATATCCAGTACAGGCCACAAATACTGGAGTCCTTTTTTCTTTGTCCCACAAAATACAGTAATTACAGTTAACTTAATGAGCTTGACATTAAGGTGTGATTTCCACCAATCTGTACCTGCCCCAAATAGCTTTCACCAGGCAGATCACATGTAGTGTCATATCAGTAACCTTTTTGATGGCAGTGATGCAGACCCTCTTTCTGTCCAAGCAAATCTTGTTACGATGCAAGTTTTTGTTGATTCATACAAATACTTTGGCAAGGGCATCAGCTCCTGCACTAGCTATATATGCTTTTGACGGGTGGAAAGCAACATCATAAATTGATTCATCCAATTTCTTTCTGTGAGCTGTTATTTCTTGCACACATGTCTTGCTGTCTAAATTCCATAATCTGATGGAACAGTCATGGCCTATAAAAGAACAAATAAAATTTGTTACTGAGTAACAATCTTTTATAAAGTTTGTGGGCAGTACAGGACTTTAAGACTTACTTCCAGACATCAAATAGATTCCATTAGGATCTACTGCTAGACTTGTAACAGCATCCAAGTGAGCTACCATAGAATGGATCATTTTACCTAAACAAAACATAACAGAACAGATTAAGTTTTCACAAATACTAATGAGAGAACAGAAACTACAATATAGCATCGACATAAAACAATCATTATAGCAACTTTTTTATTGTGGTAAAATATACACAACATAAAATTTACCACTATAAACATTTGAGTACACAATCCAGTGTCTTTTAGAACATTCACAGGGTTATGCAACCATCACCATTCTCTAGAGTTCAGAACATTTTCATCACTGGTAAAGGAAACCCCATATGCAATTAAGCAATCACTCCTCTTTGTCCCTCCAACCCCTGACCACTAATCAACTCTTTCTATAGACTGGCCTATTCTGGATGCTTCGTATAAGTGAACTCATACAATATGTGGCTTTTTGTGTCTGGCTTCTTTGACTTAACATAACGTTTTAAGAGTA